GGGGATACCCAGGAATTGAAAAGCATCTCGGCAGAGAAATGCAATCATCCCTTCCTTCCCATTTTTCACCTTTTGCCCAGGTGTTACAGTAAACAGCAGGTGTCAGTTATTATACATTAAGGTTCTTCTGCTTCTCCCCGCTTATCCTTTCGTCCACCTTTATGTGACGTCTCTATCCGCCTCACCCACCCACATACTCCATAAGAAAATCCAATGAAAATTTACGAGAAGAAGGAGGCTTTCTAGAGAGCATGAGAATTTTCTAATACTTGCCTTTTGGTTGCTCACTAAACCCATGCCATCATAGCCTGAGGAAAAATGGAAAAGGCTGGCATAGATCCATATAAGGGTATTGTATTTTTAAATAACCTTTAAGATTAGTAACCAGTTGCCATCAAATCAATTCAGACTCATGGCAACCCCATGTGTGTCAGAGAACTATACTATATAGGGTTTCCAATGGTTGATTTTTTGGAAGTAGATCACCAGTCCTTTCTTTCGAGGTTCCTCTGGGTAGACTGAAACCTCCGATGTTTCTGCTAGCAGCTGAGTGTGTTAACCATTTGTTTGCACTACCCAGCAACTCCTTTGAGATTAGTAGGGCCTGAAAAAAGATCCTGAATGGCTATTCATTAATTCCCAGGAGATAAATCTAGGGATTTCCACAAAGGGACAAATTTGAGCATCTGATTAGAAGCTATCTTTTTATTTTTCTGATTATTTTAGGAAGACTTAAACAAGTGTTAATACCTACTAATTTCCTTGTTATCTATAAGGCTAGGTCTTAACCTCAGTGGGGCAGGAGCAGACAACAAAATAATGATCAAGTCACCAATCAGAAAGGTATCCTGTGTAATATTTAGCAATTTACGATTTGTTTTGTTCATCTTATTTGGGGCACCGAAAGTGCCTTACAAATAATGAGGATTTTTTTTCTTCTGCAACTCCCAAGGTGATTCCTTAGGTTCTCTGGGAAGGCACAGTGGTTATTAATCAAGTCACTGGAGACCAACAACAATAATCTGACTGTTAAAACTATGGATATTTGTTAAACTGTGTTTCATAATGTAAAGTTGTGTGTGTGTGTGTGTGTGCTGTGGTGGGGGATAAATGGGAAAATCAACATTGCTCTGAGAGAAGATTAGCATGAACTACTAAAGATACTGACATTTAAAAGAATTTCAGAAATTAAGAAAAAAAAATTGAACAACTCATCCACCAGTCCTAAAGCTAAAAATGAAAAGATTTCTAACCTGGGGTCCATGGGTTGGGTTTCAGGGCACCTATAAATCTCCTAAAATTGTAGGCAAAATTTTGTATAATTTTACATTTTTCTGCTGAGAGAGTGAACTGATTTCTAAAGATTCTCAAAGGGATCCTTGACCCAAAAAAAGTTTAAGAAACACTGCCCTAAAAAAAAGAAGGTAGGAGGAAAAGAAAGCAGTTTTTTGTATGCCCATTGCTTGGAGTTTACTAGTGGCTTTCTATGTCGATGTAACCTCCTATAAACAGAGAAGACACGGAAGGAAAGAAAGGCAATAAGGAGAATGAATCCAGGAGTCTCATCAATTCTATCTCAAATAAAATCAACTAAATGTATGTGAAATTTGTACAAGGCACTTGTTGGTTAACTTTTTGCTTTAAACACATTTTATATATGTATTAAAAGTTAACCCTAGTATGATCACCTTCCTTTCAAAAGCCTCTGAAATTTCAAATTAGATTGTATTTTCAGAGCCCAAGGTATCAACAAAAATTTAGATGTTAACAATTAAACTCATGAAAACTGTTTAGAATAAGCGTGTGTCAAAGGGTATTTTTTTTAGCATAAATTTCTGATCATTTATGCCGAATTCTTCAGAAGCAGCTTTCAATGAAAAACATATACCATTTTGCAGCAATATAATTTTGTACTGAAAGGAGCTTTTAACAAAAGACAAAAGGATGATACAAAGGTGAATTTCTGTATATTCAGGATACATTTACTGTTGTTTCAGCATATTAAAAACTCATATAATAGTAACTATAAAGGGTAAAACAAAGATGAATTTCTGTATGTTCAAATACATTTACTATTATTTCAGCATATTAAAAACTCATATAATTTCAACACTAATTATAATGGAAACCTATTCTCACTTAAGAAAAGAATAGATAGTTTTTCAGTGAAACCTATTTCTCCTCATGCTCCCCAAATCCTATAAAGTGTTCAAAATTAAGTTTCATTAATAAATGCCCCTGTGAAAGTAATCAGCACACATATTTAATCAGCACATATTTTTCTGTACATCCTGGAGTGAACTCTCACAGAATCCCCTTTTTCCTGCTTTACAAAAGGCTTAAATCAACCTCTCTCCATTTCTAATCTTTTTCGTTCTTTAATTATACTTAATCCCAGAGGCATGAACATGTTGGATATATGCCATCTTGTAAATCAAGAATCCTATAATCCTTTCTTTAAGACTGGTCTCAAAATCTAACTTAGCTTCAACTAAATATGTAAATATGCAAAACTCTTCGGTCTCCAAAACACTTCATTAGCTGACAACCTGCAAAGGCAGATTAAGAGATAGTACAAAAATTGAGTAAGAAAATAAATGAATGTTTTACCAATTGTTACAACTTCTGAATAAAGTTATTTTCTTTGAATGACTACCTTAAATAAATGTTAGCCTATGAATCTAAATTAGTATACTATAGGGTAAGGATTTATGGGTTTTCTTCTCTTATGAAAATATTTCCCCCTTCAACGCCTCTCAAGAAACATAAAAGTACACACTTACCCCATTTTGCTTGCCGTGGTTAAATCATGCTCGGATCAAGGCTTATCTGGGCTCTGAATTAACTTAAAAGACGAGGTAGAGAAGTGGCTGATTTGACTTCTCCTGAAACGAGACTGTCATATGCTAACTAGGCCTTTAAATGAGGAAAATTAACATCTCTTCTAATTATGTAAGCTCCAGGTCAAATTCTAGCACCAACTAATCAAATAACTGAACTGCGTTTAGTTTCAAGGAGTAAAAAGAAAAAAAAAAAAAAACTGTTTAAGAGGAATGACTTTGGTATCTTAGAAAATTGGGAATTTATACATTGAAAATTTTTATAGCAATAAAAAGTTAGATTTTAAAAGTAAAATATATACCTTGATTACCTTAAATAATTTGTTTGAAGACAAATATTATTGGAAAAAATTCAATTTTCAGTAAAGCAGATACTTTTCTACCAAGTATCTTCCAGAATTTTGGGATTCACATTATATGTCCTGGTACCTGAAAACATCATCTTACCTTATCTTAACTTGACCAGTATTTATCTCCTTATAAATTCCAGTAAAATAATAATATTTAATTCTAAAACCAAACCAGTTAATGGAAAGCAACACATTTAAGAATGTCTAATTTTTTTAATGTAGCCTCAAACACTTATATAAACAGGGTCTTCTGAAATAACATACAAAGCTACTGAAATGAAAAACTAACAAAAATGCCATTTTATTAAAACAGTTTAAAAACACATTTCAACCCAGATTTATGGTTAGTAAAGAATAAAAATATAACATTTTTAGGTTATGAATATTCACAACATCTTGAGTGAAGAACTATGACATATGTTATCTATTATATACACCACCTTTGTCAGCTTTGGAAAACAGAGTTTCAACAAAGTCAGGTCTTTACTGTAATTTTTAAAATGTAGCTATTAGGTACTTTTCTAATACTTTATTATTCTATCGAAATGGTGAAGAAGTTTTCTGGGCATAGAATATGGAAGGACATAGAGATGTACTTTTTAAAAAATTGAGATTCAGATCATATACTGTAAAATTCACCCTTTTAAAGTGTATGATTCAGTGATTTTTAGTATATTCACAAGACTGTGCAACCAGCACCACTATCTAGTTCCAGAACATTCCTATCACCCCCCAAATACCCCAGTACCTCCCAACTTCCCCTTTCCCTGGCAACCACTAATCTACTTTCTGCCTGAATGGATTTGTCGATTCTGGGTATTCCATATAAATGGAATCATACAGTATGTAATCTTTTGTGACCGGCTTCTTTCACTTAGCAGTTGTTTTCAAGATTCATCCATTCTGTAGCATGTATGAGTACTCCATTCCTTTTCATGGCTGAATAATATCCGGTTGTATGGTATACTACATTTTGTTTACCTGTTAATTAGTTGATGGGCATGGGTTTCCACTTCTTGGCTATTATGAATAATGATGCTATGAACATTCATGTACAAGCCTTTCTGTGAACATATGTTTTCAATTTTCTTGGGTACACACTTAGGAGAAGAATTGCTGGGTCATATGGTAACTCTATGTTTAACTTTCTGAGGAGCTGTTTTTCCACAGTGGCTGCACCATTTCACATTCCCCATCAGCAACGTTTGAGGGTCCTGACTTTTTCACATCCTCACCATTATTTATTGTCTTTTTTATTATAGCCATCCTAATGGTTGGGAAGTGATATCTCACTGTGGTTTTGATTAGTAATACCTTTTCATATGCTTACTGGCCATTTGTATATCTTCTTTGGAGAAATGTCTATTCAAATTCTTTGCCTATTTTTTAATTGTGTTGTTTTTTTACTGTTGAGTTGTAAGAGCTCTTCATATATTCTGGCTACCAGACCAAAGCACTCGGCTGCTAACTGAAAGGTTGGCGGTTTGAACTCACCAGCCGCTCCGAGGCAGAAAGATGTAGCAGTCTACTTCCATAAAGATTACAGCCTTGGAAATCCTATGGGGCAGTTCTACTCTGTCCTATAGGATTGCTGTGAGTCAGAATCTAGTCGACGCAACACAACAACACAACAACAGACCCTTCTCAGATATTTGATTTTCAAGTACTTTCTCCCATTTGTGATAATGTCCTTTGATGCATAGATGTACTTTTTAAAGATGAAAAAAAAAACTGAGGCACAGGATTGAAAACTGACTTTGCCAAGATCTGATAGTTCTGTCGCATTTACTGAAATGAGCTAACTCTCAACTGAATGACATAATGTATTTTAAACCAATTATAACGATGAAAACAAAGTTGAAAAAAGGCATAAGTGAGTAATGGTTTTATTGGCAAGTTTGTAATATAGATATAGCATATGAAGTCATTTCAGATGACAGATTTAGTTGCTTTCCTTACAACTAAAAGCTTCAACCACCACATTAAAACTTCAGTGCAGAACATCTATCTACATGAGTAGCTTTAATTTCAGGCCTGGAGCAGCTGTGAAATGAAAGTTACCACACCATTCTAGTCCTTGGGTATCAGTATATTCTCCTTCACCTTCCACCCTGCAATAGCAAAAAATAAGTTTGTTCATTAACCAAGGCCAAAAATTTACAGTCCAGATGTAAGATTCTCTAGTTTACAATGTCTGAAACATTGTATCTTTCCACTTACAAAGTGCTGTTACATGGCACAAAAAATTACTATTCCAAAAGAACATTGCTACCATACAAATTTAGATACCCAAGATTTAGGATCACATAAGCTAAGTTTACACAAGACCAAAGAAATCAGTTAAAAAATGAAAAATTTATATTAGTTATCTGGCTTAATTAGTTCATTTATTCAACAAATATTTATTGACCACCAGCTAGGTATGAGGTGCTCTGTGATGGCTATAGAACAGTGAACGAGACAAGCGTAATTCCTTTTCTTGGATTCTTTGGAGGGGTAAAAATGCACTTCACATAAACAAACAGCATTTTATCCCTAATGAATTCATATTTTTGCAGCTACTGTATATGTTTTTAAATCTCCATTTCCAACTGTTCTTTGCTAGTACATAGAATACAATTGATTTTTGTATAATGACTTTGTCCCTTGCAAGCTTGCTAAACTCATTTGTTAGTTCTAATAACACTTTCAAGAGTCATTAGGATCTTCTACATAGATGATCATGTCGTCTGCAAATAAAGACAGTTTTATTCTTTCCAGACTATATGTTCCATCTATATTTTCAAAATAAAAATTTGGGGGTGGGGGAGAATTCCTTTACTGTTGTTTTGATGAATTTCAGGGGGAAGTAAAAGTAGATCTGTGTGCGTTCAACTTGCCTTCTTTATCTGGAAATCCCTCACTACTTCTTTAAATATTTCTTGGAAGGCTTCTCTGACTTTTTTCGATTACTTTTCATAGTCCTTCTCTCATCATAACGTTCTTATGAGCTAAGTAGGAAAAATATAATTGATCCTATTTTACAGAGAAAGTGATGGGGCCATAAGAGAGTTACACAAATTATATGGCAAGTAACTGAATTGTTGGGTTACTTTGGGTGGTACTCAAAAAGTACTCAAGAGCCTAGGTCCCTTGACCCCATATCTAAACAAAGAATAACATGAAGATGGGAAAAGTGAAAAAAATAAGAATAAAGAGGACAAAATAATGAAGGGGTTTAAGACTGACTCAAAAAGTTCTACAGAATAGAAAAGTCAAGAGGAAATAAATGAAAAGTCCAATGGATTATCACCAAGAATGCCATTTCCTTCGGATAGTTTAAATACTTTTTCTACCCAAAATAACCCAACAATTGTTAGAAACTAAATATTTTACAAAAGACGATTTAGCATTAAATATAATATTTAAGCAAATGTACGGTGACTTTATTTTAAGCTTACCTATTTTCATTGAAATTTCCAGTGTACTTTGCCCCACTTGGGAATGTATAAGTCCCCAATCCATGAAACATATTATCCTTAAAATGTCCTTCATATACTGCTCCTGAAAAATGTTCAAGTCTTCCAAAGCCATTCATCTGTTTGTAACAAAGGAAATGTCCTCAGTAACTAATCTGCAGTTTCTAGAACCTTACAAAAATGTACGCATATAAATCTACCATCCACATTGTCTTAGTTATCTAGGGCTGCTATAACAGAAATACCACAAGTGGGTGGCTTTAACAAAGAGAATTTTATTTTCTCACAGTTTAGGAGGTTAGAAGTCCAAATTCAGGGTGCTGGCTCTAGGGAAGGCTTTCTCTCTGTGTCAGCTCTGGAGGAGGGTCCTTGTCCCTTTAGCTTCTGCTTCCTGGTTCCTTGGAGATCTCCATGTGTCTTGGCACCTATCTTACCCCATCTCTACTTCTTGCTTGCTTGTCCACTCTCTTTTATACCTCAAAAGAGATTGACTCAAGATATACCCTACACTAAGCCTGCCTCATTAACATAACAAAGACAACCCATTCCCAAATGGGATTATAACCACAGGCATAGAGATTAGAATTTACAACACATATTTTTTGGGGACATAATTGAATCCATAATATACTTGATAATTATTTACTGTACCACTGTATAACCCTTTATTTCCAAAAAAAACAAGACATTTTTATCATTGTCCTTCAGGTACATATATCTATGAAGCCCACTCAATCAAATGTTCCCCATCTGAGGCATTTGAACATTTAGAGGGTCCATGAAGATAATAATAGTGGTCCTTAAGATACTCCAAATATTCAAAAATTTTAAAAGGCAACTAGTTTAGTTAGCTCAGGAAACAGTACAAAGTAGTTGTTGAGAACACAGATTTGGACTCAAGCAGATCTGGATACACATTCTTGTTTTATCACTTATTACCTAGGCAAGAGACCTGAGCGTGAATTCCCTCATTTGTAAAATAGGAGTAATGATGTCGTATAGGGTCACTATGAGTTGGAATCGACTCAATAGCATACAACAACAACAATGGTACTCACCTTGTGAAGTTATGAGGATTAAATAAAAAAATTATGTAATGAAAGATGAGAAAAATGATGGTGATGATGAATTCTCTGCATGAGTTTAATATTACTCATCTATGTTAAATATAATCATTTGTTATTTTTATTGTATAGTTTAGTCATTATGTATGTTTTCATTAATGGTAAAATGTCTGGAACCACTTAACCCATAAGGGTTACTTATCCATTGTTAATAATAAAAACAATAATAATACCTTGTCATCTTTCCAGCTTCCTTTGTAAATAATCCCATCAGGGGTGGTATGAATCCCTATTCCATTTCTCTCAAAGATTCCAGAAGGTGTTCTTGTACAGTCACCATCTTAACAAGAGAGAAGTACTGAAGATTATAAGGGGGAACATTGTTTGACTAAGTAATGCAGTATCCATGCCCAAGCCTAATCGCAGCTATACCCCTATGGATCTCCTTGGCTCCCTAGAACTGAAACCAATCAGATGACAGGTGAGGAGATCCATGGACCCAGAGGTCTTGAAACCATTGAGACCCAAGGACCAGGAAGATTGACAGCTCCTACAGGTTTCCAAGGCATGCTTTGTCTAGACTTAACACTGGAGTTTAGATTTAAAATCTATCCATCTATTAGTATTTCCAAGTTATTTTATTTAATGGATTTAATATTTTAACAGTAGCTTTTATAAACTGTGATAGTCTCATTTTTTTTACTCTTAAGCCAGTATAGAAAAAGTAACTGAATCACTCATGAGTACTGTGCTTCTCTAAATAATCATCTAAATGAAACCAAATGGCAAATATTTTCCCTAGATCAAAGATGAGAAGGTAAGGGGGGACAGGGAAGCTAGGTAAAGGGAAATAGAACCACCAGTATGGAAATAATGAGAATGCTAATAAATCGTGAAAAATGTAACCAATGTCACTAAACAACATGTATGGAAACTGTTAGATGAGAACCTAATTTCCTGTATAAACTTTCCCAAAGACACAATAAAAATTTTTTTAAAGTAATTGAAATGTATTCTTACCATACTTGTCTCCATTTGGAAATATAAAGCTTATCTTATATACTTCTGAGGCTGTTTTAAAAGATTTAAGAAAAGTCACATAAGTTTAAACAGTTTATGTCATAAGACCTATAAAAAATGCGCTTTAAGAGCTACCCAAATAGACTCACTTCATAAGATTACAAGCATATCATGTTACTTGGCGTTCACATTTCTAGTTGAGGGTCCTGGAGGAAATAAACAATTTTGCCTAGATGATCTATTTTTATTTATTTGTTTGTTTACTATAGCAGCTTTATTAAGATATAATTCACATACCACAAAATTAACCCTTTAAAAACTGTACAATTCAATGGTTTTTAGAATATTCAGAATTGTACAATCACCACCATAATCTAATTTTAGAATATTTTCGTTACTCCCAAAAGAAACCCTGTATCCACTAGCAGTTATTCCCCATTATCCTCATCCACTCTCCTCTCCCCTAGCCCCTGGCAACCACTAATCTACTTTGTGTCTCTATAGATTTGCCTATAATGGACATTTCATATAAATGGAATCATACAGTATGTAACCTTTTGTGACTGGCTTCTTTCACTGAGCATAATGTTTTCAAAGTTCATCCGTGTTGTAGCACATATCAGTACTTCATTCCTTTTTATTGCTGAATAATGTTCCACTGGAGTCCCTGGGTAGGACGGTCAATGCATTTGGCTGCTCAACAAAAGGTTGGAGGTTCAAGTCCACACAGAGGTACCTCAGAAGAAAGTCCTGGTGATCTACTTCTGAAAAATCAACCACTGAAAATTCTATGGAGGTGGTGGGGCCAAGATGGCGGATTAGTCAGACACTTCGTGTCATCCATCTTACAACAAAGACCCAAGAAAACAAGTGGATTGGATATATGTGACAATCTAGGAACTCTAAGCATTGAAGACAAAGCTGAAGAATCAGATTGAGCAACAGGTGGAAGGAGAGACAATTCAAAACAGAGGAAATGGTGAATTATAGATCTCTGGTGTCCTGCTAGCTGAATCAGCACAGCACAGACATATTGAGGCAAGCAATAGCATCTCAGGCTGAACCCTACCCTGTCTGGTACAGATAAGTAGCAGCAACTCTGCACATACCTCCAGAACCAAACATGAGTGACATCAGACCTGTGAAAATTAAGGGCAAGCTCCCAACCCACCATATGCACCATACCCCTTCCTCCACCAGAGCTCTATGGCCAAGGAGCACTCCCTTCTCTTCATCCATCCCCATCCCCCCTCCACCACCAGTCTGGAGGCATTCAACACTGCCACATCCCCTAAGGCGGGAACTCATGGCCCGGTCTGGAGGCGCTTGCCCTGTCGCCCAACCACTGGTATAGGGGGTCCACAGACTTGCAGTGCCCTTGACCCCCACTGATCACCCACACCACTGCCTTGTTGACCAACCTGGCACAGCATGCCCTCATTAGGATAAAATGGGCAGGGCTTCTAGCAGCAGTGGGAGCTGCAGCTCTGTGGCATTTGACACCATGCTGCCCCTCAAGAAAGGGCTTCACCCACCCACCCTAGGGGCCTGAGGCCCAGCAGTACAAGGCATTCCACCTAACCACACATGACAGGAGCCAGAGAACCAGTGGCGTTCCCCAATCCCTCCATCTAACAAAACTGGGCACCCAAGGGCTAACCCCCCGCTACACGGTCTAGTGGACAGAGGCATGCTCTCCATCCTGGCACCTGGGGGCAGCTGACAGCCCCCTGCTTTGCCCCCCACATAGCACCACACTGCAACCAGAGACTATGCCTGTTCCTAACACCACCACACAGCCCTGCCTACCCAGGGACTGTAGGAGAGTCTCCACACCATGCACTCGGTGTCCGATGACCCAGGCACCTGCTCCCCAACCAACCAGTAAGTGGCAGAGCACACACACAACACCCAACTCAACAACCAGGGAGAACAACCCCTGCACCAGTGTCCAGGTGACCAGCAGGACAGATTCATTATCTCACCAAAAACACCACCTACATCTTCAGCAGGCCTGCAAGAACAATGAAAAGACTCCCAGGCTCACATAACTAGTAGCTGTTCCGACCACCTGGAGACAGGAGGTGAAAGCTTCAGCAAGGCCAGATTAATGACCAGAGTAGCACACATGCCCAGCCTACTTGGACATATCAAAACAAAACAAAATACAAATGGACACAGTGAACCTGGGGTGGAAAAGGAAAGAGGAAGAGTGCTGACACAATGTGGGATTGCAGCCAATGCCAGAAACAATTTGTGTATAAAATTTTTAATGAGAAACTAATTTTCTCTGTAAATTTTCACCTAAATCACACACACACGCCACACACACACAACTTTCACCAAGACATATCATAATCAAGCATGCCAAAACCAAAGACAAAGAATCCTGAGAGTGGCTAGAGAAAAACAAAAAGTCACTTAAAAAGAGACCCACTAAGACAAAGCTCTGATTACTTAGCAGAAACAATGCAGGCAAGAAGGCAATGGGATGACATATATAAAGCCTTGAAGAAAAAAAATTGCCAGCGAAGAATTAAATTTGGAGCAAAATTGTCTCTCAAACACAATGACGAAATCAGGTCATTTCCAGATAAACAGAAATTAAGAGAATATGTAAAAACAAGACCAAAATTACAAGAAATATTACAGAGTCGTCCAGCTGGAAAACCATTAACATCAGACAACAATCCAAGACTAGGACACAGGACATATCAACCAGATACAAACCAAGATAGTGAACTCACAAAAACAAAACAAAGCTAAAAGACTGAAAATAGGGAACCAGAGACATCGATACATAAACGATGACAATGGCAAAACAAAAAAGAAGGAATAGCAGTGTAGTCATAGAACTTCCATATGGAGAGGAAGACAAAATGGTATCAAGAAATAAAAGCCTGGTTTAAACCAAGAAAAAATAAATTTCAAGGTAACCACAAAGGAAGCTAACAAATCTATCCATCAAAGTAAAAAAAAAAGAAAAACATAAAGACTCAACAAACACAAAATCAACAATAATGAACGAGATGAAAAGAAAACCCATAAACAAAAAGAACTCAGCACAGAAAATTAAGCAGAACAAAGAAACCATCACTACCACAAAACAAACAAACAAAATGACAGCAGTAAGCTCTTACTTATCAATAATTAAACTGAAGGCCTAAATGCACCAGTAAACAGACAGAAAGTGGCAGAATGGTTAAAAAAAAACATGATTCATCTATTTGCTGTCTACATGAGACACATCTTAGACACAATACATAAACAAAAACGCAAAAGATGGGAAAAAAATATATCAAGCAAACAACAACCAAAAAAAGCAAGAGTGGCAATATTAATCTCAGATAAAATAGACTTTAAAGCAAAATCCACCATAAAGGATAAGGAAAGACACTATATAATGATTAAAGGGTCAATACACCAAGAAGACATAACCATAATAAATATATACACATCCAATGACAGGACTCCAAAATTCATAAAACAAACTCTAACAGCGTTGGAAAGAGAAATAGACAGCTCCACAATAATATTAGGAAACTTCAACATACCACTTTCAGTGAAGGAAAGAATGTCTAGAAAGAAACTCAATAAAAATACAGAAGATCTAAATGCCACAATCAACCAACTCAACCTCATAGACATATACAGAACACTCCACCCAACAGCAGCAAAGTATACATTCTTTTCCAAAGCACATGGAAAATTCTTCAGAATAGACCACATTTTAGGCCACAAAGCAAGCCTTAACAAAATCCAAAACATCAAAATAATACAAAGCATTCTCTCTGACCACAATGCCATAAATCTGATCATAATGCCATTAAACCAGAAATCAATAACAGAAACAGCAAGGAAAAAAAAAATAAAAAACATGGAAACTGAACAACAGCTTGCTTAAAAACTACTGGGTAATAGAAGAAATCAAAGAGGGAATAAAAAGATTCATAGAATCAAATGAGAATAAAAATACATCTAACCAAAACCTTTGGGACACAGCAAGAGCAGTGCTTAGAGGTCAATTTATAGCAATAAATGCACACACCAAAAAAGAAGGGCCAAAATCAAAAACTTAACCCTACAACTTGAACAAATAGGAAGAGTACTAAAAGAAGCCATCGGGCATCAGAAGAAAGGAAATAATAAAGATCAGAGCAGAAATAAATGAAATAGAGAACAGTAAAACAATAGAAAGAATCAATAAGACCAAAAGTTGGTTCTTTGAAAAGATCAACAAAATTGAGAAATCACTGGCCAAATTTACAAAAGAAAAACAGAAAAGGAAGCAAACAACCTCAATAAGAAATGAGACAGGTGATATCACTAAAGACCTAACTAAAATAAAAAGGATCATAACAGAATACTATGAAAAATTGTCCTCTGACAAATTTGAAAACCTAAAGGAAATGTATAAATTTCTAGAAACACACTACCTACCTAAACTAACACAAACTGTTGGTAGAAAATCTAAACAGACCCACAACAAAAGAAAAGATTAAAGAGATAATAAATGAACTCCTAACATCGACAACAAAAAATTCCTGGCCTGGATGGCTTCACCGGAGAATTCTACCAAACTTTCAGAGAAGAGCTCACACCAGTACTACTCAAACTATTTCAAAGCACAGAAAAGGAAGGAATACTCCCGAATTCATTCTATGAAGCCAGCATAACCCTGATACCAAAGCCAGGCAAAAACCCCACAAAAAAAGAAAACTAAAGACCAATATCCTTAATGAATACAGATGCAAAAATTACAGCCAACAAAATTCAACAACATATCAAAGAAATAACACATCGTGACCAAGGGGGATTCATACCAGGTACGCAAGGATGGTTAAACGTTAGAAAATCAATCAACGTAATCCACCACATAAATAAAACAAAAGAAAAGAATCACACGATCACATCAATTGACACAGAAAAGGCATTTGACAAGGTCCAACACCCATTCCTGATAAAAACTTTCAATAAAATAGGAATACAGGGGAAATCCCTCAACATAATAAAGGGCATTTATACAAAACCAACAGCCAACATCATTCTAA